GTCAGTCAAGTCCCCTCAGGATTTATCCTGTAACCCTGTACTGCACTTTGTAGATCCTTTGCCAGTGTCAGCCATGTGGATGAGTCACAGGTATAACACAACTAAAAGGAAAGTGAGAACTTGAGGACTGGACAATGAGGAGAGGGTAAGGAGAAAAGCTGGGAAACAGGACAGGGCCAAAGCCATATACTTGTATGCACAAGACAGGCGAGGCAATGATCCTGAGAAACATCAGCAGGTTTGTGAAACTAGCAGTCAATTGGTAGGATTCTCACCCTGACTAACTGTACATGCTGATACCTGTGAGCCAAGCAACTGTCCGGAAGATAGCAATGTGTAATAGAAGGGCCATGCTTGGAATGCCTGTCATTCTGGTCTTCTAAATACATACTTCTTTTCATGACTTTCCAATTATTACCATACTGTCTCACAAGTAAAAGGTTTTTTGTTTGTTTGTTTGTTTTTTGCTTTTCTTTTTTTAAATGGGTAATAAATGAAAAAAAGACACAAGAAAAAGAAAAAAAGTCACAAGACTGTCCTGCTACAATGTTGTATATGGTTAGATTTCTAAATTTTTGTGTAAAAATATGTGTAAAAATATTTATTCCTATTTTTAAATTTTTTTTCTTCATATTCTGTAAGGACTTAAATTTCAACACATCAATACTTGATGGGAGATGCCTGTTCCACGTCATGCCTAAGATGTTCGATATTTAGACAGATAGTTAGCGTAAACCAAACTGCATATGTTGCAGGGTAATAATAAGCTTCTCTTCTGGAGGGTTAACAACCTAAGTTTGCAGATCAAAAATTGGAGAAAAGGAAGGGCAGCAAGGGCAGCCAACATTTTGGCCCTAGCTGTTCAAGGTCATTTAAGACTCAGGACATATGAGAACCTGTACTGTAACATCATGTAACTCAGTTGTGTGCCAAATTTTCTCATCAAGGATATTATGGGGCCACAGAGGAAAGTGATTAATGATGCAGAGTGTGTTTGTAGAGAGTCACATGGAGAGAAACATTCTCTCAGGCTTTCACAGAGAGCAAATTAGTTGGATAATTTCTGATAGTTGTAGAGCTCTCACTTGTGAATTATTTTTCTATAGTATTTGGGAGCAATAAGTGGAGATTTCATGTAAAGCTCCTACCACAGGGTCTGGCACATTCAGGCAGAATTAAGCAAGAAAGTGTTATAGCTGTTTCTATGATGTTTATTTTTTTTTTCCTGTAGAAAAATCTCACAGAGTAAATAATAAAGCTGGAACAGAATTTCTAATATGCTCATCATTTCATTTTACTTCTTTTTTTCCCTAGTACCAGGTATCAAACTTGGGACCTTGTGCTTGCTGGGCGGCCCGGCCCTTATGCCTCTGAGCTATCTTCCTGGCCTGTCAGAATTACTAATATAAAGAAAGCAAACATAGCTGATTTTAGATGGCTAGTGAAAAAGGCTCAGTATTATAATGAGTTGGAGGTAGAAAAGTGAGAAGGTAAAACGAAAAAGCCTAAGTGGAAATAACACTCACAATAGTGCGGATTCTGTTTTGGAAAAGAAATTTGCAGAAATCATATGTATCGAGCTCAGCTCAGGATCGTGGCTTAACAGCTTTGCCCTCCTCCATCCTTGCTGGGGAAAACTAATGAATGCACTGGGCGGCTGAATTTTTTCATGTACCCTTAACTTATCTTAAGAAAGGTTGTAGCCCTGCCTTTCCACTGCAATATTCTAAATAGACTGATATTCTAAATATATCTTTATCACCTTGAGAAAGCCAGGAGGAGCCACTCCACCTCCTACAGGAAAATCCGCTTTTCTCGTTCATGTCCCCTTTCTACTTGACTTGCTTCCTCATTTGATGCCAACTTAATCAATTTTACCTGGGAAATTGTGCTTGAATCTTATTGGCTGACCATAGTTTTGTCATTCCCACCTTGTGATTTCCCATGTTTCATGCCTTGGACCCAGCTCACCTCGAGGTTTTGCTCTATAAAAACTCCCAGAAAAGGCAAGTTCCTCAGCAACTCTCTTGGGTCCCCTCCTGCCCCTCTCTTGTACAAAAGCTTTCTTTCCCCCAATAAATGTATTCTGCTCTTAACCTCCTTTGTTCCTAACCTTCATTCTTCAATTTTAGGGAGCAGAAACTCATCCTAGGTATCTAGCAGGTTTGGAGTTTCTTTCCCTTCTATCATTGATTTATGTCACACTACCAAGAACATGCTAAGCCACCAGGCCCCAGGAGACATTTGGTGCCTTTCAAACCATCAGTGAATTGATTTTTTAAGGTTTGCATGTACAGGAATGCTGAGATGTAGACAGAAAAAAAGATGAGTTTATCTTGTCATTCTGGGTGAGACGTTTGGGCTGTCTTAAGTTATGCAATAGCTGTCTATGGCAGAAGGCTGAGCTGATGGCCACTGCAAAGCAAAGTGGGGACTGCATCTGTTTAAGAAGAAGATGACACTCCAGCCACTTGATGATTGCAGCAATATTCATGACTCGCGGTGCTGACATTCTATAGATGGATTCAGTCTTGAAATGTGGAAACACTGAGTCATGCAGAAGATGAGACGTTTTAATAATGAAAAAAATATTTATGTAGTCAGCAGATTGTCAGTAAAGGTGGTTTAGATTTTAAGAGTAACCCCAACAGAGACTATGGCAGGTTGCAAATTATTCTAACCACAAAATCATTTGAAGTGAAGTAAACCTAGAGTGACTTGATACAACGCAGATCTGCTCATGCCTTCTTCCTCCCCCATTCTCCTTTTATCCTCCCTCTTTTGAAATTGAAAAAGAGTTGATTCTGCATCTAAATATAATACCAGGGCCACCCACTCAGGGCCCCTCCTGGCAACCCAGAGCTACTCTTATTTCTAATAAAACTCTCTCTTAGCCTCCAAAAGGTCCTCAAACAAAACAAAATAAAGACAGAGAGAGAGAGAGAGAGAGAGAGAGAGAGAGAGAGAGAGAGAGAGAGAGAGAAGGAAAGAAAGAAA